GTGCTGCTACATGACCCGTGGATTTATTCTAATTTCAAGATAAAAAATTTAAATTTGTAGTTGGACGGTATCATAGCTCGGCATTATAACTTGAAAACTATGGTAGGGACAGTTATAGATCCATTAGCAGATAAAACATTAATTACCATTCTGACGGTTACTTTAGCCATGAAAGACTTGTTACCAAGTAAAATTAATTGTCAAAATACTGTACCTAATTATTGTTGAGAACAAAAAGATTTTGATATGTTTTTTTCTTTAAAGTACCAATAGCGACTATAATTTTAGGTCGAGATTTCTGTCTTATTTTAGCGTCCTTTTATTATAGATATATTTCACTTCCAGCACCGGTAAGGTCTTCTGGAATTTATAATTTACGCAATTAATTAAGGAGTTAAAACTTTTTTAGAAAACACTGTCCAGATATTTCGATATATCAATCCCATCAGCAGAAGTCAGACCAACTCTGATTAGTAAGGTATGATTCATCCCAATTTTTTGGATGAATACCACGTGCTAAATCATTAATTCAATGTTTAATATATCTGAAAAAGGTGAATACCGCTTTGCAATTAGCGCTTATGGGTACGACACTTTCTAGCCCAATATTTGGTTGGATCAATATTCCATTCTTGAAAGCATTACAGTATGTACATAAATAAAAATTCGATAATACTTTTAAGCCATTATTATTTTTTTTTAATGAAGTTTACATAACACTCATGAATAAAAACTCACAGGTATACTGTTGCGGGAACAACGATTTGGTCTGGTATAAGCTATGTGTTCTCTAAAGATGCTATAAGAATATTAAAGCAGCCTCGTATTAAATGATATTGATTGTGTAAAGAGAGCGGAGAATACTTTAGTTTTATGCAATGTCCATATGTTTTAATAGTCTGTCACTAAAGCTAGAGTTATACATCTTGATGTCCAAAGCTCTTTTTTGCATATTCAACTTCCAAGTCTGAGAATATCTAAGCAAGTCTACACTTTTATAAAACTTTGCTTAATGAATTAAATCAAGCTGTTATGTTAAATTTAGATATTTCTTTTTCTATATAACATGACTAAGATTTTATTCGAATAACAACTGGATAATGCAACATACCCAATTGAAACTTCTATTTGTGTTGATACATTCCTATAAAGAAGTTATAGACAACAGATTTGTAATTGATCAAACTTTAATCAATAGTATTTGTTATCAAACAAGAAGATATGAATAAAAATTCAAAGTAAAATAAATTTCTTTCAATTAATTTATTTCGAATTAGATAAACTATAAAGGGTATATATATAATACAGTTGATCACAATAAACTGCAAATTTAATAAGTTGAAGTCCTGTGATTTATAAAAGAAAATAATTACTACTACTATTAAGATTACATATAATTTGAATTTAAATAATAAATTTTAAAGTATTTTGATATAATTGTGTCTAAAAAAAAAAAAATCCACCAATAAATTTCTTTTAAAAATCGTCTATAGTTTGTAATAATATTAGATTAAATCAAGACATTTTTTTGTAAAATTTGTTTTGCTTCGTTAGATGGCTCTGGATATCCTAATGGATTGGATTCAATCCAACGCCAAAGATCTTGACACATATGATCTAGGTTATACTTTGGGTGCCAACCTAATTCAACATTTGCCAGACTTGCATCTGCTGTTACGACACCAATATCACCAGGACGTCTCTTTGTGATTTTATAAGGAATCTCTTTACCACATGCTTTTGACATGGCCTGAATTATTTCTAGGACAGAATATCCAACACCTGTACCAAGATTATAAGCTACACAACCGGGGTTTGCTTTTAACTTTCGGAGTGCTGCTACATGACCCGTCGCCAAGTCACAAACATGAATGTAATCTCTTACACCTATTTATTATAAAATAAAATTTTCAAGTTAATAATTTCATCATAGTTAGATAAACAATTAAAAAAATATATATACGCTACCTGTACCATCAACTGTATCATAATCACCGCCAAAAATATTAACAAAAGGTAAACGACCTTGAACAACTTGACTTACATAAGGCATTAGATTATTTGGAATACCACGAGGGTTTTCTCCAATAATACCAGATGGATGAGCACCTGTAGGATTAAAGTATCTATATGCAATAAAAATGACCATGCATGGTAAGAATAATATCAATAAAAATATATAATGAATCTTTTTTTTTTTTTTACCTTAAAAGCACAGCATTCCATTTATTCTTTGCTGCACACATATCTCGAATTGCCTCCTCTATAAATAACTTCGTCTTGCCATATGGATTTGTTACTGGGCCTAAGCTACATTTCTCATTTACAGGAATTGTATCTGGGTGACCATATACAGTAGCACTACTAGAGAATACTATATTATAAACACCAAATCG